TCATGTAAGGCCGAAGTCATCAGGGCTCTCAAATGCCCCAAAGATCTTACCCAGTGCAGGAAGCCCCTGTATCTCGTTCCCATGACCATATGAGCGAGCACAGAGAACGCCTCCTCGAAAGAGAAGTGGGTGCGGAAGCCACATCCTGTGTGAAGGGAAGCCAGCCAACAGAACCACAGCTAGGGGAAAATTTTCCTCAAGAATATGAGGAACAAAGGTCAGTAAGCATCTTCGACCGAATAGGGTAAGACCTTAGCAATAGGGCCCGCTCAATACAAAGATCAGTTCGGCAAGACCATGAGCAAGAACAGACGCCTCCTCCTCCTAGAAATAGGAGGGATAGAAGGAACCTAGTCGATTGGGGAAGTCGAGGAGAAGCATCTCCATCTCCCCAGGATATTCAAGATGATAAAGGGTCAGATAGGCCTTGTCGATCTTATGAAATCGATGATGATGATGATAATATCCCTTTCTCAAGGGAGATCCGAAGTTTCCCAATGCTGACGAACTTCATGCCCCCTAAGATCCCCAAGTATGAATGAAAGGGGGACCCAGAAAAGCACCTCACCAAGTATATGACATAGGTGAGCCTCGCCTGCTTTGAAATGCATAGCCTTCCACTTAACCCTAGGTGGAGCTACTGAAGTGTGGTATAGCAGACTTCCTCCCTTGAGCATTAGGAGTTGGCCATATTTGAAGAAGGCATTCATGAACTAATACCTCTCACGCAGAGAAGGAGAGGCCCCAGTGCAACGCTTGCAAGATATGAGGCAGGCCCCTAGAGAGACGTTAAAAAGCTATCTCGCCTGATTTATAGACGAAATCACATACTACGAATAAGTCACTGACAGAGAAGCCCTTTCAGCTCTAAAAGGTGGCCTCAACATGAACACTTTGTTCTGGAGGGACGTGCGCAGCAAGAATCCTGCCACCTATGACGAACTGGTGAAAATGATGAGAGTGAAAATCGTCAGTGAAGAAATGATTGATCACCGAAATCGTGCCGCGCAGGGACTACCTCCGCCTCAGAGGCAGGTAGGTCAAGTACCCGCAGCGCACCTTGTCACTCAGCAATGGACTGAAGTAGGTCACAAAATAGCTCCCACCCCCAGACAGGCACTGGCTTCCACCACACTGAATGCAGTACCAGTATTGGCATGAGAATGCTCCTGGTAAAGCAAGACCATCTGGAAGAGCTGATAGTAAGAAGAAGAAGTGATCAAACAAGCCCTTGGAAGGGACAAGGTTTTGCACTTTCCACCAATTCTATGGGCATGACACCAGTGAGTGCCGAGACGCTAATCGATGCCCGGATCGAAGTAACCCACATCCTTCCAGCAGGAGCGAATATCTTCGCAGATCCTCCTCCCCGAACAGGGGAAAGAGAGGGCATAGAGAGCAATCACCCCGGAGAAGAGAATCAAGGGACAGAGGACAGTCTAGATAGAGAGATGAGGCCCCATTCTCTGGGAGCCAAGTCATCAGGGAGATTGACACAATCATTGGGGACCCCACATCGATGGCAACATCAGGAACGCCCAAAGGAATTACACAAGAGAAGCAAAGGACTCACCAATGATTACCTACATTGTCAACGAGTCACAAGTGACCAATAAGATGGCCCTAATCACCTTCTCCCAGGAAGATGTAGAAGTAGTTCACCACCCCCATTGTGACGCATTGGTTGTGAGAGTCGTAGTGGCTAGAAACGAACTCAAACGCATGCTCGTCGACAATGGAAGTTCGGTGAACATACTGCTCCACCTTTGACAAAATGCAAATTGAACATGGATTGATCCCCCATGACCGACCCACTATTCGAATTTATTGGAGACAGCATCGTCCCATAAGGGCGGATCACTCTGCCTGTCGAGATGGGTTCAACACCCCTAGTGGCCCGACACTTTATGAAATTCTTAGTGGTAGACCACAGATCGGCCTATCATGGAGTATTGGGTAAACCCGCTTTGAAAGATCTTTGGGCTTCACATCCATCCACTACTTGTGTATGAAATTCCCAACTGAACATGGGACTGGTACAGTCCGAGGCGACCGGATGGGCTCCAGGGCATGTTGCTTGAACTCTCTGAGAAAGTCGGAGCCCCGAACTATTAATGTGATCATAATTGAAGTTGCCAATGAAGTCAGTATGGACGTGAAAATGCTCGATGCCCCTGAACAAGGGCATACCTCCGAACAGGATGAAGACGTCAACATGGAAGAGACCCCTGAATAAGGACACCCTCTTGATGATTTAGATCCCCGGATAATTGACTCTGAACCAAATGCGACCCTAATGGAAGAACTCGAAACTTTCTCCGCTAACCCAGAGGACCCTAATCAGGTCTTGCAATAGGGAGAGCACTGTCCTCTGAAGCAAAAGAGAAGATGATAAGCTTTATGAAAAGGAAACTTGGATGTCTTTACTTGGAAGCATGAGGACATGGTGAGAATAGATTCAAGGATCAGTTGCCACCATCTTAACATCAACTCATCGTGTACACCTCATCGGCAGAAAAGACATGCCCTCAACCTAGAAAGGTACGAGGCTCTGAAAGACGAAGTAGGCAAGCTTAGCCTCAGTGGCTTCATAAGGGAAGCCATCTACCCGAAGTGGATATCCAACCCGGTCCTGGTGAAAAAGCCCAGCGGGAAGTGGAGAGTGTGCGTAGACTTCACCAACTTGAATAAGGCGTGCCCTAAAGACAGCTTCCCACTTCCAAGATTGTGGATTCCACCGCTGGACAAGAACTATTGTGCTTCATGAATGCATATTCGGGGTACAATCAGATACCCATGTTCGGACCTGATGATAAAGCTACATCATTCATTACAGACAGAGGACTCAGTACTATAACGTCATGCCCTTCAGATTGAAAAATGCAGGAGCCACATATCAGAGACTAGTCAACATGATGTTTGCCGAACTCATTGGCAAAATCATGGAGGTCTACGTGGATAACATGCTAGTCAAAAGCTTCCAGGCAAGCGGACACGTAAGTCACCTCGACCAAACCTTTCAGATACTTAGAAAATATATGATGAAGCTGAATCCACTCAAGTGCACATTTGGGGTGGCTTCGGGTCAGTTCTTGGGGTATATTGTTAACCAAAGAGGAATTGAAGATCTAGTATAGATAACGGCCTTGCTGGAAATGAGATTACCTCAATAATCGAAGGAGGTCCAAAGCCTCAATGGTCGGATAGCCACACTCAGTCACTTCATCTCCAGGGCTATAGATAAGAGCTTACCCTTCTTCAATGTGCTTAAGCAAGGAAAGAAGTTTTAATAGACTTCTGAGTGCGAGGAAGCCTTCTAGGCACTGAAAAAGCACCTCGGAGAGGTGCCCCTTTTGTCAAAACCCCAACCAGAAGAATCACTGCCGCTGTATTTAGTGATTTTGAACGTGGCGGTCAGCGTTGTCCTAGTCAGAGAAGAAAATGAGTGCCAGGTGCCAGTATACTATGTCAGCAAAGCACTCTTTCCAGCTGAAACATGCTACCCAGACATGGAGAAACTGGCACTTGCCCTCATCACAGCCTCAAGGAAACTAAGGCCATACTTTCAGGCCCACTCGATTGAAGTTCTCACCAACTTCCCATTGAAGCAAGTGCTGCAGAGAACAGATGCATCAGGACGCTTGCTAAAATGGGCGATTGAGATCAACGAGTTCGACCTACTGTTCCGACCTCGACATGCCGTCAAGGGCCAGGCTCTTGCAAATTTTATGGTTGAGTTTGCTAAAGCCCCGAAACCCGAAGCAACAATGGAATCAGCCAAGCCCCCAACATGGAAACTGTTCTTAGATAGATCTTTAGGAGAGACTGGCTCCAGGGTAGGAATTGTCTTGGAAAGCCCAGAGGGTCACAACCTAAATTGCGCAGTATGGTTCGATTTCAAAGCCTCGAACAACGGTGCTGAGTATGAGGCCCTTCTGGCAGGTCTTAGACTTGCTAAGGAAATACAAGTCAGAAAGCTACTAGCAAGCAGCGATTCTCAGCTGATAGTGAATCAGATCAATGGAAGCTTTGCGGCCAAAGACAGCAACATGGTTGCATACTTGAAATTGGTTTCTGGACCTAGTTCCTCAGTTTGAAAGGTTCGAACTGATTCAAATCTCACGCCTAGAGAATACACATGCAGATGTCCTTTCAAAATTGGCCAGCAACAAGGATTCTGAGCTACTAAATGCCGTCCCTATCGAACACTTATCGAAGCCCTCCATTTCCAGAGGAGAAGAGGTATTTTGGATAGAAGGCACCCCATTATGGATGCAGCCCATCATCGCCTATCTAAAGGACCAAACACTACCTGCTTCTAGAAGCGAGGTGAGAAAGTTGAGAAGAAGGGCTGCGCACTTTGTCCTGCAAGAGGATATGCTCTACAAAAGAGGCTTCGCCTCACTACTTCTTCGATGCGTGGAAGACGAAGAGGCCACATATATTCTTGGGGAAATCCATGAGGAAATCTGTGGAAATCACTCCGGAGGAGCAGCTCTGGTACACAAGGTTCTCCGTCAAGGCTACTTCTGGCCGACCCTGAAAAGGGATTCTTGCCAGTTTGTCCAGAAATGTAACAAGTGCCATCACTTCTCAAATATTCAAAGACAGCTTTCTCAGACCCTCTCCGTAGTAACCAGCCCCTGGCCATTCACCAAGTGGGGCATCGACTTCATTGGTTCACTCCTAAAAGGAAGAGGAAGCACGACCTTCGCCATTGTCACCATTGACTACTTCACCAAGTGGGTCAAGGCTGAACCTCTTGCCAAGATCACCGAGGCGAATGCTACAAAATTCATCTGGAAGAATATCATTTGTAGGTTCGGCATTCCCCACTCCTTAGTGTCCGACAACGGGAGACAGTTCAACAGCAGGAAAATGCGAGAATTGTGCGATGAATTAGGGATAAAAAAGGATTTCTCAATGCCTCATCACCCACAAGCAAATGAACAAGTTGAGGCAGTAAACAAAACTATCAAGTATACCTTGAAAAGGAAACTTGACACCTCAAAGGGGGCTTGGGTCAATGAGCTTTCCCACGTCCTCTGGGCCATTAGAACCACAAGCCGAACTGCAACAGGGGAAACACCATTCTCAATGACCTACGGTGCTGAGGCAATGAGCCTGGTCGAGGTTGGGGTCCCATCGCACCATCGAACACACTTTGACAAGATCAGTAATGATGAGGCCGGAGTAAACAAACTCCACCTCCTTGAAGAAAGGAGGGATACCTTCCTGGTGAATTTGGCAAAGTATCATAGAAAGATGACCCGCTATTATAACTCCAAGGTCAGAAATCGAACGCTTCACCTGGGAGACCTCGTCCTCAGAAGAATATTCCAAACATCAAAGCCAACAGGGTTTGAAGTGTTGGGACCGAACTGGGAGGGTCCTTACCGCGTCTGCAGTGAATCCCGACCTGGCACTTTCGAAATTGAAGACATGGCAGGGAAAGCACTAGCTCATCAATGGAACATCGAACGCTTGAGGAAGTACTATCAGTGATGAGCTTTTGTTCTGGTCCGATCTCAATGTTGTCTAATAAATGTATGTCCTGATCCGATCTCGTTTGTAATTCTCCTAGTTTACTGAGTGCTGAAAATGCCTTGGTAATGGGTAATGTAACTTCTCTAAGTATTGATATTTCAATTCTTTGTCACATCGGTTAGTAAATTGTTACCTCAGTCCTTCAATATGTTTACTTAAGTGATCCGATCTTCTGTCATTAATTGGTTATTGCAAAGAGGTGCTGGATGAATACTTAAGTGATCCGATCTTCTGATTATTGTTAAGAGGTGCTTGATGATTACTTAAGTGATCTGATCTTCTGATTATTGTTAAGAGGCTCTTAATCTTAAGTGATTGTCATTCATATATGTATAAACAGATCAACACAATAAGAAAACAGAAGCAACAACACTTGGTAAAAATTTTATTTCATTCACTTCAAATTTACAAAAGAGGCCAAAGCCATTACAAGATAAGCCCTATTCTACAGGAGGCCCATCCTCGCCATCCCCTTCCTCACCCGCCTCGGGGGCCACTGGAGCATCTTCAGCAAGCCTATCAGACTGGCCTCCAGTAGGTCCCCCGAACTATGCCTCTAAAGAGGAGATGTCCAAAGTGGGATGGACCTCTTTAAGCCGACCTAATAAGCCTTAGGCACTCCAGGAGGCCCAAAAATTTGCAAAGTCGTCGTACAGGGGATGCTCCTCGAAGTGGTCAATGAAATTTTGAATAGCCACTTCCCCTACCGACTTCAGTTCCTCCTTCAAGGAGGCGTTTTCCTAAGATTGGGCCTCCGCCTCTGCCTCAGCTCCACTATTTCTTTATTGGAGGCCTCCAGAGCCTCCGTGGCGAGCCGGTGGTGCTCATTGGCGTGATTCACTCTTCGGGTCATAACAGCCACTTGACACTCCACTTTATAGAGCTCTTTCTTCAGCCGCTCTGTGTCTCCTTTAGCAGTCGCCAGCTGGGCCTCAGCCTCCATTCTCCCTTTCTCTTCCTCTGCGGCCTTGGCCCGAGCCTCTATCACCACGTCCCCATATTGCATCACCTCCTCGAGGCGCATGGCGAGGTCCTCCCTCTTGGCGTTGAGGTCTTTCACCAAGCCTTCGAGCTGGATGCTGGTGCTCAGAGTCCGGGCCACGCAGGTACTATTGGCCGCCACTAAGTCCTCGACTATGCAAGAGCTGGTATGGTCCCTCCATTCTTCGGTCCAGTACTTATTGTGGACCACAGCCACTACATCCGTTTTCGGGAAAAGAGCCTCCAGTACTTCTTTTACTGGCTCCTCAAAATTTGTGCCCAAAAAGTCCACCTCCTTTGAGGGATGGGCCCTTTTCCTCTTGGGCTGCCCCGGCACTTAGACGAGAGGCACAGCAGTAACTGGCACTGTGGCCGGGGCAGGATAAGCCTCTGATCGCGCAGGCATTTTCTCCGGAATGGCCACCCCGATAGGAATTGTGGTTTACCTTAGAATGGGGGTGGCCTCGCCACAGTTGGTCGCTTCGAAGGGGCAGTAGGCTTTTTGCCCTTTCGAAGCAGATTGGCCTCAGGATCTTCAAGCGTAGAAGCCTCTTGCTGGCATGCACCAAGTCCTCCATCTGCTTCTTATAGGCAGAGGAGGAGGTCTTCAAGGCCCTCGCTTCGGCCATCATCTTTTATGTGGTCTTGAAGTCGGGCTAGAGAGGTATCTTCTTATTGAAGTCACCTGTAAGAAACAAGTAAATTAGTACAAGTGTAAACGACTCGGTAGTACTGAAAGGTATTTGCCTCGAGATATTACCTTGTGAGGCCATCAGGTCGTGCGTCACAAGATGAAGATTCTTTTTGATAAGCCGATGGAACGACCTCTTCTTCGGAGACAGTTGGTATATGACGTAGATGATCTCAAAGTCATCAGGGGATAGCTCGCACCGAGGAAGAGTGCCTTCAAAAAATGAACACAAATGTTAGTTATGATCCGAACCGAAGAGAAATAAACAAGAAATACAGCCACAATACTCACTAAATGATGAGTACTTCGTGGGGACCGTAAGAGGTGCCATGGGGTCCCCTTCCATCATGTCTCATCTCCCAACAGTCCAGCACCACGAGCTCTTCCACTCCTTGATAGAGCTCGACAGATCGAGTACGAATAGAATGTGAAACCCCAAGAGGTCAGGTAATACCAGTTGGGTCAGTGCTAAGCCGTAAGACGTAAGCACCATTCGGAAAGAAGGGTGAATTGGAAGCCTAAGACCGGCCCTAAGGATCGCCTCACTTATTGCCACGCACCCCGGCCTAGGGTAGCAAGCCCTCTCATTAGGCTCGGGTAGGATCAGGTCTATACTATCTGATATCCTATATTCAGTCCTAAGTCTTTCTAGGTCGGCTCCCTTTAGCTTGGAGGGATAATCCAACGCCCCCCAATGCACAAAGGTATTTGCTGGGCTATCCGACCTCTTCCAAATGTTCTCCCCCCAAGTATCGCTTTGGCTACTTCGGAGGAGGTCGCCACAATGGGCTCGTCCATCCGCACTAACTCCAGCCCCCTCCCCGAACTAGTACTACCCTCAGAAGCCATTTTCAGAAAGGAAATGTCTCAAATATTTATTGAAACTTACGAGTTTGAGTGTTCCCCAGCTGGAAATGGTCAAAAAGTAGTGTGTGATCGCCAAAAATTCAAATTTCTCGTCGAAAATGCTTGAAGAACACCGAAAATCGTAGAGAGTTTTAGAGCAAATGGGACTTTCTGTTTTCGCAAGAGTGAAAAGCTCCAAAAATGCTCAAGTCCACCTTTTATAGAGCGCTCCAACTAATCTCCACCGTTGAATTCAAATGCAATCAATCTAGGCCGTCCGTTGTATTTTCCATCTAGGCCGTTGAAATAAAACGCCAGATTTGATCTACGCCTAAGATTTTGCTGTGGTCCTCACGCTTGCATAAAATCCGTCGCCTTGGTCACCACCGACCGTCAACAATATGTAGCCTCAGCAGCCTTTTAGGGAAATGGGCGCTGTATCCAACTGTCACCTTGGAAATACGCAGCAGCTATCAAATATTTAACGTTAGCTACGCCCGCCTCGAATCGAGCTCCTCACTCAACTTTACAAAGCTTAGACGCACCTGACGCGGGGTCCCCTGTGGGTCATCGCCTCGGTCGATGCGTTCCCTCCTAAACTTCACAAAGTTTTAGCCATTTCCCAACGTGTCGTCGCCTGTGGATCAGCGCACCAGTGGCGGATGAGCTCCTCACTCAACTTTACAAAGCTTAGATGCACTTGACGCGGAGTTCCCTGTGGGTCATCGCCTTGGTCGATGCGTTTCCTCCTAAACTTTACAAAGTTTTAGCCATCTCCCAATGCGTCGTCCCCTGTTGGTCATCTCCTCAGTCGATGCGTTCCCTCCTAAACTTTACAAAGTTTTAGTCATCTTTCAACGCGTCGGCCCCTGTGGGTCAGCGCACCAGTGGTAGATGAGCTCCTCACTTAGCTTTATAAAATCTAGACGCACCTGACATGAAGTCCCCTGTGGATCATCGCCTCGGTCGATACGTTGACCGTCTCCCTAAGCATCGTCCAGTTCGACAGCACCTTGACCTCACATAAATTTTTCCCTCACGCAGTAGTGAACTTTAGCGCATCTGCCTAGGATCAACGCTTCGGCGAACACATAAGATCGACCCTCAAATTCTCACAAATCACAGTCCCCATCACGAGGCATATATACCCGATCGAGAAGACAAGTCCACCCATGATATAAATATCATACCTGGACTTGGGGGAACACTGTTACGCCCTATCCGAACCACTTCGAAAAGTCCACCACCATGTCATGCGATCCAAACCACTTCGGGAAGTCCACCACCACGTCATGCGAGGTGTGGAACACTTGTCCGAAGTGGTTCCGAATTGACTTCACTAATGATAACGATCTGCTATCACAATACGAGGCATAGACAATTCTGCGGAACTGACCGAAACACTCTCGCCCCTGAATCCGATGCGAAATGCACTCCGAGAACCTCTGTCAGAGGATCCGCCGACAATTTCAGAATGAGATCTTTGTCAAGATCTTTTTTGCCCCTAAGGTTTAAAGTGATTTGACGTCTCCATGAGGTTAGTTGATNCAATTTCAGAATGAGATCTTTGTCAAGATCTTTTTTGCCCCTAAGGTTTAAAGTGATTTGACGTCTCCATGAGGTTAGTTGATGTGACGTATCAACTTTATGTTAACTCGACTTGGGAGAAGTAATTACCCACCTATTCTATAAACGCGGCTAATTGACGCCTATGAGCAGACACCTCATACCGTCAGATGTGTACACGTGTCTCACATCCAACGGTTCTTATCACCTATAAATACCCAAGGTTTGGTAAGAGGCAAAGGTAATGAAACTCTTACTATTTAGCATTTCATAGCAAGCAAACATATATTCTCCTCCCCACTATTTTGCACAACCTTGGTACTGTTCCGATCATCTGGGCCTAACTTGACCGTCGGAGTGTATACGGCCGCCGTCACTCCCGTTGGTTCAGGCCGCGTGCATTTGACCGTGTGTTGATTGTGCACAGGGAGAAATACGTGGAGTGGCTATCAGTTGACCACGTGGAGGGTCCAATTTCTGAGGTCAACACTTTGAATGTTTACCCATGTATGCTTTAACAACGGTTGTAGGCCAAGACTAGAAGAAACCAAGCAAAGATAGAAAAATAACATTAAAATAATAGAGAGCGACACACCGAATATGGAAATGAGAAGAGAGAGGCCGATGAGAGTCAAACATAGTAGCAGCTAGAGTTTATCTGGCGGCAGAGACAAAAAGCAAGATAGAAAAGAAGCTTGAATGATTTAGGGCCTGCTTATAAGCATTTTTTTTCTCAACGATTTTGATCGATTTTAGGTAGCACCTTTTATGTAGGGTCGAGAAAATCGATACTTGCTAGTTTTTTGGATATTGTTATTGGGTGGATTAGAAATCACATAAAACATGTGTAATATAATTTTGACGATTTTTTCTCAACCCATCTGTATGTTTTGGTCGTTTTTCATATTCTTCTTTAATTTTACTCTCAACAAAATTATTTTCAACTAAAATATTTTGTTCAAATTTTTTTTAAAAATAATAATACATGAACTAAAAATAAGATTAAAAAAATCACTTTTGTGTAAAATTTTGTTTGTAAAGTAAAATATTACTAATAAGACAAAAAATTACTTATAAGTTATAAAAAGTTACTTATATGTAAATATATTACTCTGTGTTAAAATTATTTAAGAGCACAACATTAACTTAGAATTGTAAAACTTATAAGTAAAAAAAAAAAAAAATACTAAATTAAAAATTTAAGTAAATATTTAACTTAAAAGCTAAATATTAAGTTATATATGAAAAAAATACACATAATTAAAACATTACTTGTGAGTAAAAATTTCATTAAGGTGCATATATGTAATTTTATTTTTTTAGAAAATTTTCGCAATTGGTGGATAATAAACTTTCATTCAAAATCGATCTGCCCATAAATACTTTATTGGTACCCCCAAAAAGTCTCAAAAAAGGTACTTTGGATTCTTGGGGCTTAACTTGACACTTTTTTTTAATCAAGCTGATCGGCTCAGATTTTTATTTAGTCATTTATGGCGTACATGAAAATTATCTATTTTAAAAAAAAAATCGCAAATATTTTTCTATCAATTTATAAGAACGTAAAAGAAAGGAAAAGAAAATGAAAAGAAGGGGAAAAAAAAAAGAAAGAAAGAAAGAAAACTAAAGAAGGAAATGGAAAAAAAAAAAAATCCAAGATAAAAAAGTGGGTGCACAAAATTCCCTTCTCTTTTTCTTGCATTTTTTACGGCGTGCCAATGTGTATACCATCATTTTTTTTTCTTTTTTTATCTTACATTTTTTAGAGTATAAAATTAGTGCATGCATGCTGTAAATAGTTGCTTTCTTTCCTTTTCTTTTCTTTTTTTTTTAAATAAAAGGAAAAAATTGCAAATACTTTCTATCAATCTATATAGTATGCTTGAAACTTACACCGTGAATATTATTATTTTACGACCTGTCCAACAGGGGTGAATTCAGGGTCCAATGTTAGTTAGGGTGGACCGTTGACCGTGGGGTGAACTGTTGACCATTGGCTTGTGACAGTTGACAATCAAAGATCATAATAACGAGTTTATTTATTAATATGTAATTAAATAATATTAAAAAAATCTTCAATTTTTATGTAAATGCGCCAAAACGTGAAAATTATAGACATATAAAAATATAATTCAATACAACTCAAAGTATAAAAAAAATGCACGATACTACCTTACTTTGTTAATGTGAATTTAACAATTACATTGTACAGGGTCTCATATTTTGAAAAGTTAAAAGCCACCTTTCCATTGCAATTAGAGTGTATATTTTGAAAATATCTGAGACAACTTTACTAAATTAATAAGTTGATGAAGTATCTGTAGAGCTTTGATACCAAATTATTGAATTTTAAACATCAAGAAAATAGAATTTTATTGATGACATGAATTTTACACAATTTGACATGAATTTTACACAATTTGAACAGAAACTCACACTTATTTTATTTGTAGAACACCACTCTCACATTTAATTCTCACCATCTTAATTCACTCTAATTTTATAAAACATTACTTCCTCAGCTTCTTTCTATGATCTACTCTCTATCTCTCCTCACTTTTCTTCCTGCTCTCTTCACATTACCACACGCTTTCACACACACAAAATACTAGCAGTATATATATATATATATATATTAAAGGTCGGTGGCCAATTCTTCTACCTGATTCTAGTATGTTGGTGAAGATGGTTGCACTTTAGAGTAATCCTTTGATGGCGATGAACTTTTTTTCCAACAATTACTTACAGGTATACAGTCCAATCGGCGTTGGTGGATGGTGGTGGTGACAACAACAATGGGGTAGAAGTGGAGAACGAAGAAGGAAGGGTTCGCTTGTTGGGGTTGCCGAGTTGGGTGCTTCAATTACTACCGGTACTATTTATCCATCTCCAAATCAATTGTTTGGGCCAATTTTTATTATTTATTATTATTATTATTATTATTTTAAAAGGCCCAACTCTCAGCCCAAACAAAAGAGCCCAAAAAATCCAAAATTTTTCATTCATCTTCTTCTTCCTCGGTTGTTCCCCTTTTCGGTTCTTCCGGCTCTGCAACTTCCACCCGACGGTCCAGACAGCTATTGAAGACTCCAGTGGATCCAGCACACGTAGTTGCGCCCCCTCGCTGGTTGTTGGCTCCGCCCTAGTGTCCAAAATGTATGTCATAAATACTTGAAGAATTGAATTATTACGGTATACATTTAAGACATGTCGTAAATGGTCTATTTTTATGGTATGCTTAAATAATTTTTTTTTGGTTGAAATAGTAACAGAAATTAAAGAATAACAGAATGGGAGGTAAAGCATTAGGTAATATAACATATAATTATGTGTGATTTGTTACTTTCATATATGCATATTTTGGTCTGTTTAACTATTTACAATGCCTAACTCAGGTGATAAAAATGAAACTTTTCGACTTGGATTTAAGTCTCCTAGGTGGTTGGATGAAATTAAAAAAAAAAAAAAAAGGAAGTTATTTATAATGTCAAATTTGTAAATATTTCTATTTTTCATACAAAATATATTTTTTGTTACTAATTTACTAAAGCCTCGTTCGGTTTAGATAATTATTAATATATTTTGATAAAAGTTGGTGAAATGTGTGGCTGAAAAATTGTTAAAAATTGTAGGTCCCATAAAATATGTAGTTGAAAATGAATTTAGAGAAAAAAGATTTTTAAGAAATGGGGCTGAACAAAGACAATGAAAATTTGCAAACTATGGTAATATAAATTGTAAATACACCATAAATGCATGGTGTATTTTTAAATTTCCCTTAGATAAATTAAAAAATTCAATTTTAATAAATAAGAAAACATGTCTCAAACATTTTTCCCAACAAAGTCCAATACCCGTAAGTTTTAATGACATCACGTAGTATGAATTGTCCAGGATTAAAAATAAAAAAAGAGAGAGAGAGAGAGAGAGAGAGAGAGAGAGTCATGTATATATATTTAAACACTACTTTATTATTTATCTTACTATTTTGGAGGGGTTTCATTGGGATTTTAACATTTGTAGGCCCATCTGTATCCGAGGAGAATAAAATAACCAGAGAATTATTGACTCTTTATATTAAAAACCTTGTTTGTTTCTATTCTGAGTCATCATAATATTTTGAGAAGCCTCAACTTGTTATTTAAAAAATATTTCACAGTTACCTTTTAATAATTTCTTTCTACATTGTTCGATATCTTTTCCAGTAACTTGCTAGAAGAGTCACTTGTCTTTATTTGTGCTTTGGTAGGCCAATCAAAAGAAAATTTTAATGTTAATTTATTGTTAATTTGAAATGATTTGTGTTATGAAAAATATTTAATAAAATTTCTTTCATAACGATTTAGAACTTTCTGAGTGTTAGCACACAGACACTATAGTAGTTTATGCGATCAAATTTAGATGAAATGTTTCAATATAAACGTATGAACCAAACACAAAATATGGTATACATAAAACGAAACATGTTGAAGATGATTCCCCTAGTTTAGTGAATTCTTCTCGTAAGTTCCTGGTGTACTTGATGCAAAAATGAGTCCCTATTAATCCTATTTATTATAATTTAGTAATCGATGGTCTTATAGTAGATGCTTAAAAACAAGTTCATATTTGTTATCTCGACTTGAATCTTTTCTTAGTTGTCCTGATTCTAAAATTTTAAACTAATAATTCGTCGATATTAAAATCAAAATGAAGTGTCAAAATTTTGATTCCAAGATTGGAAACCAAAAGAGCAGATCTAAACTTTACTGGATCATGTCATCACTCTCTCTTTTCCCACAATGTTTTATCTTATCCTTGTTATTTCTTAATGCTGTAGCTTTTCTTTCCAAAAGGAGTCGAAGAATCTTTCTGTCCAATGAGTTGGTCTGGACATTCTTGATTCTTCTAGGAACTTTTTCACACACATCTATACTGTTCTTGGTAGGGACAGAGAGAGGCCACATCCCCATTTTAACTTTTGGAAGATGTACTAATGAAGAAAAACCATTAGAATTTTATTTACTAAATGATTTACGAATTAAAATAAGTAAAACTAATAAGTGATAGGAAAGTCTAAGCCTGTGTATTCTAAATCAATTTACAAACGGTCAAATTTTATTTTCAACCACTTATTTCAATGAATCCACAAGTTGCGACAATAAACATAAAATTCAGTTATGTTGGATCAATATGAAGCTATATATCAATTAATTAAAATTAATGTTCACTAGATTTCAAAAGAAATCTAATTTTGGTTGTTGTTGATCTTATTATTGTTGTTGTTATTGTTCAATGAAGTCACACGCTTCCAAATTGATTACCAAACTGGCATTCTGTTAGGGATTAGCGGCCACTTTATACTTAACTGCTAATTTTACTAGCGAGGATGGGCAGACTGGCTTACATTGACATAAGTTCGTTAAATAAAAAAGCACATTTACCCATATGAGAATTTTCTACAAGTTCAACAAGCCACAAATTTTATTCTACTTAAATCTGTACCAGACACGCCCATAGAGTAGTGATATGGAGTAAAATAAATGATAGAACAGAAAGTGGTATTTTTTGATATTTATTGGAAAAAATCTTGAGTTTTTGTGTTAGGTGCTATTGGGCTCTCTCACTCAAAAAACTAGTTCAAGAGGTGAGACTTTTCCTCATACTTATAAATTGAATGCTAACCCCATCCACAATCGATGTAGGACAATCTCAAAATCTCCCTCTCACACATTGGACTTTGCGGGAGACCAAACATGTCTCCCCCCACACATCGGGACCTATGAGAGGTCAAACCCGACTCCGTCTCACGCGAACCCGTATCTTGATGACTGTTGGACCGAAGACTTGTTGATAAACCGGGCTCTGATACCAATGTTGGATGATATTGAGCCGATCTCACCCTAAAAGCTAGCTCAAGATGCGAGACTTTCCCTCAAACTTATAAGCTGAATACCTATTTCATTCATAATCGATGTGGGACAACCTCAACAAGTTGGCATGCAAAAAAATTTGAAATTTGTCAGTTGGGGACCTCTTTGGCTTGCTGCATTAGCAGCTAGTCTATCTTCTTATGGTCCTTATTCGTCCACAGTCTAGTTCTTCCACTCCCTGCCTCTCTATATATCTTCTATTATTATTCGGATCCTTCCACCATATTCTTCTTCAAAACTTATCTCAATACTAGAAAGATAATGGCCAATAATTCGAAGCGTCCCAAACTTTATCTGCTTCTCCTCTACTTGTTTTCTGCAACATTACTTATACAAGGTATCCCAAAAAATTTATGTCACTAAGTGATCCTTTTTCATACTTCGTTGGGTTCATTTCCTTACTAAGAATATAATAGCCAATAAAATTAAACACCCCAAATTTTATCTGCACTTTCTCTACTTGTTTTCTGCGGCATTACTTGTACAAGGTCATCTTCAGGAAAAGCCTGTTAGTTTTTCTATTTACGTAGTATGTTTAATTTGTATTAATTTTATCAAGTTTTCTCAGTTTTTACTATGTACATTCATTAATAGTTTGTGCTTTCCTTTTCTCCTTTTCTCTTATATAACAAAAAACTAGCAATATTCCCAGTAAATTTTGAGTTTTTACATGAATTTACCACCTTCATCTATTAATTTCTATCCTAAGAAGATAATAATAAGCACCCCCACTTCATAAGTTCATAGTCTACTTATCATGTGCTGCATTATTAGTAAAAGTTCATCTTCAGACATAATTAGTAGCCTGCTTTCTCTATTAATTTGCTGTGACTTTTATATACAATGAGTACGTCGTGCTCTAGCTAGTCTCGAATTCTAAATTTTCTAACTTGGTTGCATTGGATAGGATAAAAGAAACAAAGCACATGGCAAAATTTATTAGTAGTCTTGTCTAAGAATTGAGCACACCAAACATGCCAAGATCCTGCAAATAAGATATTTAGGTGACTGGACTCTTAGTGCATGTAATTCCATCCAGAATTTAGGATCCATTTGATTGCAAAAATGGAATTTGGGTGGAAAGAAAATGAATTCTAAGGGATTAAATTGCCGATAACTTGTTTTATTGGGAATTGTTTGATTGGTATAATTTTCTACCTGAAAAATGCTGAATTTTTTTTATCTTTTAGCGTTCGTTTGGTTTTGCATTTCATAAAAATTGTCAATTAAAGGGATATAATTTGTTACAATTGTGAATAGAACTTGTTTCCATTGTAAAAAAATAATAATAAAAAAAGATAAAAAAAATTTTATTGGGGAAAAAAATTGGTTTAATTTTTAAAAAAAAAAAAAAAAACCAAAAACCAAAAACCACCAAACTCATGGAAAACATTTTCCTCAAAAATGTGGAAAATGGGGTGTGCTAAGAAAATCAATTGTCAAGAAAATTTAGCCAATCAAACATGCAAAAAGGTAGAAAATGGAATTTAATTTCTTACTTCCATGGAAAATTTGTTGTATCAAACAGGGCCTTAGTTTTGTATCAACGCTATAAGTTGTATAATATTTTTGTCTTTGGAACTAAACTACTTGTGTTTGTGACATTATTCATACCCATTTGGTTGCCACAGGGTCCAGAATTCAAATGCAATTTCCACATCATCGAAGAGGCTATCATATTTTACCGTCAACAGGAGAGTTAAACTTGAAGGTAGAAAATCATGCATAAACATTGTTCCAATGTAAAATGAGATCTCCTCTGAAACAAGTTAATTTATTGAATATAGTTAAATATGTAGGATATATATTCAAGAAGATCATTGATTGGATCAGTGGCACCTACTTGCACGTATAATGAATGCAAAGGGTGTAAGTACAAGTGCAGAGCCGAGCAAGTTCCAGTCGAAGGGAACGACCCAAGGAACAGTCCATACCACTACAAATGTGTGTGCCATAGGTGATATTTCGTGTAAACCAAGACACTTTTGGTATGCAGTATTGGACAATAAATTATATTTTAGCTACAATATGATGTCCAGTATTAAACAGTCGAGTCGAGTAACTTGAATTATGGTTCATATTATAGGAATATGCTAGAAAATTAAGTCTTCTGTTTTCTACACTGCTTTTGTCACTAAAACTAGTTAGACTGTGCCATTCTTGATTCAGGATGCCACATTTTATGAATTTTTGGATTGAGTTATTATTTAATATTTTGTTGGAAACAGCATCTTTATGTATTTATTTCTTCAAATTTTCGTTCTCATAGTAACTGCACAAGATGCAGATATAGATATCAGGTCAGATGACAGCACTCAAAATAAAAAAGAAGTTTTTTTGACAGTAAAAATTTTTACTATCTTCTTGGTTGTTTGGGAATATGAATTTCTACTACTCTTTTTTATTGATTGAAACTGTGCATGTTTTAAGTATCTAACGAAACAACAAATCCAATCTAAACGTGATGGAGCGCGTAAAATGAGTATTGATAGGCAGTATCATTCTCAAGCCATTAATGGATATAGTAGTTAAGCAAGCCGTAGTTAAGCAAGCCACAAATTTAATTCTCAATCAACAAAATCAAAGTGTAACATACGTTTATGTAAAATCGTAGTGTGGCTCAGATTGTAACTATCTCCTTACTTCGACATAGCGGGATGGAGAAGCTTCGCCCTTTCTGCAATTCCACCTTACTAATTGTTAACTCTTGAAATAAAGTCCATGAACTCAGCTAGTCATTGACGAGGTGAGCGAGAGGTGACACACAAGGGGGAGAAAGAAACGGAAGGCTGCCTAAAGATCACTTGCCATTTTTTTATATCTAAGTTGGCTATAGGCTGTCAATGAAGGACACGTAAGCAAGTGAGCGAAGTGTAAATGTTAATCAAATCGGTTACAAGATAGTTAACAAAGGACTGCCACCTATCATTCCCTGAAAATGAACAAATTATCCAAAGCTCGGAGAAAATTATATAAATACCACTCATTTGTAGAAGAATGCATGCAATCCAAATATCTCCCTTTCAAATAATTATTTCTCCCATTGTTCTAGTTGAAACATCAAGACTAGTGAATTATGGAGGTGAAAGTCTTAGTTAAGGTGAGGATTTGTTGGTTGTATTTACATTGACATTCGATTGTAATCATTTCATAAATAAACTCTTTTGGTTCAATTTGTACTATCAACTTAAACTATTAGACACGACGGTTCAACACATTCATCAACTTCAAACATTGTTGGGAACATGAAAGAGCAAATATACCCACAAAACTAACAATTTTGAAATTTTTTAATTTTTTTAATTTTTTAATTTTTTAATTTTATAACAAGAATGGTTTAGCATTTGAAATTTACAAGGGTTTAAGGGTAAAAAAAATTATAAGATCCACTGCAAGTGGCACATAAAAGTGGTCCCAAAATTGTTCTTGAACCTCCCATAGATCACATGGGCAATCTTGTTTGAATCTACTTCTCACTAAATGGCAGAATTCAATTAATTAGGACAAAGATATCAATATAGAAAGCAGGACCCATATTCAGTGAAGCCCTTCAATTTGTTTTAAGAATCTTCTGGTTTCAACTTTATGTTACACATGTAAACATATTTATAGTTCATTGGTAGGTAGCCCCAATCAGCTTTAATTTCATAAGAGGGCGAATCTGTCTCCTGATAGGAGTTGAAACATCGTCAGATGGAAAAATATCAACATCCAGTTTGCTAAATAGTGAAAAACAGTACCAGCTCGTAATGACCCGTTAGATTGTTATGTTTTTCAAAAAATTGTTGGTTGTCTGGATGACTTTTTTTTAATATTTTTATTTAGCTCAATAGTGCCAATGACCAATCTACGTATTATAGGCATTGGACTCCAATGTCACATAAATTTGCTTAGCATCACTAAGATTAAATAATACTATCTTTTTTTTTTTTTTTTTTTTTTTTCCAGTTCAGTATTATTTTTATTATGTGTAGAAAAAATTGCAGAAATACTCCTCACCCTTATAGCACTTGTAGCAATTTGGTCCCCCAAACTTTTAAATTTGGATGCTTAAATCCTTGCGCTTTCAGTTTAGTGACAGGCCTCTTTCTGGAGGGATGCATTTTTAGGCCTCTTCGATTCTCGTCGGAGCTTCACAGCCTCTAGGAGCCTCTTCAGGCTTCTTAGGGGTGATGCCTCTCTAGGGCAATGCACCCTTCGATGCACCTCATCATTTCTTTGCCTTCTCTTCAAATCTAAGGTGTCGAGAAGTGGCCTGACCCTTGTATGTGTGAAATGTCCATCTTTACTCCAAGGTGGCTGACATCGAGCCCTGATGTCTTATGCTAGTTTTATTATCGGACACCTATGAAAATGGAAAAATTGACTAATTAGACATGCATGCCCTACAAAAGTGGTTGTCACATCATCATTATTTAATATCGGGTAGGGTTAAAGGCTGCAGAACTGTCTTTTAATGATCAACTTTAAATTTTCACGTGATGCTCACATGTTCAATTTTAAGGGTAAAATTGTCATCACAATATTAGAAATGTATAACTCAGGCCTTTACATGACATGTCTGGTGAAGCGACAATACATTTTGATTCGGTGAAAATTTATTTTTCGACTCTAATGCCAATAATAGCTTATATAACTACTAAAACAAATTAAGTATTTTTTTTCCTCAATAATTAATAGTAGTAAGATGATTTTTTTACCACTTGTTCAGTTTATCATATCCGAACCCAAAAATGCCAAGTTGTACAAACTTATTATTTACACTATCATCCGCGAAGTACAATACCTCTGGTTTGTCAACCAAACTATGTGACAAATTGATGATCAAGGGATAAAGTACTGGACCAAATTCTACATTACTCTGCTAAATTACACATTGATTCACTTGAACACATTGATATATATGTTAGGATTTTGTTAGAATTAGGTTGTATTTGTCTTTTCATATATAGAATATGATTTTTAGTTTCCTAATTGTAGTAAGAATGTTTAGAATCTAAAAGCACCTCATTTTGTCTTTCTATATAAAGGACTCTCCCTTAGTACTTTTTTTCTGCGATAGTTATGGGCTATCTTAGGATATGTGACTTGGTGATCCTTTGTAGTCTCATTCAATACATACAAAATTGGTTTTCTTAGTATGTAGGTTCTTGGATCTTCTGGGGTTTGAGTGTAACTGTAATAATTTTTTATGTGGTAAAATATCATTATCTTGACAACCTCATGATTTATTTTATTATATATATATATATATATATATATATATATAGATAGATATTTTTTTTTTCCAATTAAGAGTTTTCCACGTAAACTAGGGGATGATATGATTCCATTTAATTCTGATTTTAAGAGAATCAAACCGAACCATGAATCAACGATTTTTTTATTTTTATTTTTAATTAATGAAACCAATGGTTTTTTTTTTTTTAAGATATAGAGCAAAATCGGAACTGAATCATTCGTTCTAGTTTGATTTGGTTTGATTCTAATTCCATTACATAAATTTTCAGACCTATTAATAGCAAAATAAAATCTATCACCATATTCATAAGTTAAAAGAAAAGGAAGTCAACTAATGCAGATGTATTTACTTTGTATGAAACGCACGTAAGTTGGAAATCCCTACTACAACATTTGTTTCCTTTTGTGTTATTTAGTCTAAATATGTTGTAGTAGCAAAAACCACTTGCATCAAAGTGGAGATTTGTTGTGCTCTGACACCAAACAATAATGACCCAATATAACTTCATGCCTTTTTGTTCAATATGTAGAAAAAATAAATGCCCAAATATATTAAGCCCAAACTCGAACTCAGTTGAAATTGCTACTTGGTCAGCAATTAATCTACCACTCGTAGCACTTTTGATGGGGACTATCGGGTAAGGGAGAGGATCAGTGTTTGGTGTATATTCCTATAAAAAGGACCTGATGCCCTAGAGCCTTCTCATTTTTAGGTAAATACAAATGTGCATAAATTATATTTTAATAACATACCTTTTACGTGCATGAAATCGAATATAATTTCGATTTATTGAGATCAAATAAAAGAAGTAAAATGAGAAATGCACAAATATTAATTTGGACTAAGTAAGATTTGAACTTTTTGTCATTAAAATGATTATGCCCCACAAGAGTGCTAACGATTTTTTGACATTCGTCTCCCAAGATATAACAATCACGTCCTGCAATAGGAGCACTCCAAATCACGTAGACCAATGAACCTTACTAATGTTTTGAACTCTCTTTTATGAAATTTAATTCAAAATAAATGAACCAATGGATATGAATAAACACATTATGCAACTCATGAATTGAATCAATTAATTCCAATCACTATGTCAATGTACAGTGGTCCAAAAGTTGTAAATCAAAGACAACTTAAAGAAAAGGCACCTCTAAAAAGACATGTCTTGTTGAAAAACACACGTATCTACAACAAAAGAATGTGACTTTTGAAAATTATTATTTTCAAATGAGATACAACTTTTCTTCCAAATAATTTTAGAATATTTTAGAATATTCCATATAATTTCCAACAATTTCAAGTATTTAAGTGACTTGAATTTGGCTTAATTTCTCATTTACCAAATAACGATTTCTACTTAAGTAATCATCTAAAATTGGTCAATATCAATTTTCGATACAAAATTCCAAAATTCCCCACATGAATGAAAATTAATGCAAATGACTTGCATTAGGATAGGTAAATTCTGGTTTTGAACTTGCTCTTAGTGAAATCTATTGAATTTACCTGGCTAATCATTGAACATGATGTCCTGAAGTATTCAGTCGTTGTTGTAAATCAAGATAACAGAACTCACATAATATCTTCTCTGACACTTTGATTCTCATGTTGTGTTCATTTGGTTTTGAACAACTCTAGAATTGTATAAATGTTTTGAAGAATTGCAGCCTCTAGAATTCCCATAGAAGCACCCCCACTTCTTACTTGCATAGGTAATCTCCCATTAATATTACAAGCCGTGCTCCACTTAGTTTGTCCAAGCTATCGGAGTAATTAAAAGTTCAATTTATATAATATATTCTGCACATAGCACTTTTCTTATCATAATAATGTGTAGGAGTTATATCCCACGTATTTCTTGAATCGTCATAATTTAATTGTCCTATTAAACTAAGTATTGGAATCTCAAATCAGTAAAGTTGGGTTACCATTATAAAGATCATTACGTAGTAGACTATTAATCACATTCCCCTCGATATG